CCCAGAGTCTGATTAATGGGCTCATGGCATGTACAGATGGAGTAAGGGTCCGCTGTGTGTTTAGGTTCAGGACGTTCTGTGCCAGGGAATAGTAGATGCATTAGGGAAAGAGTACTCATCTCAGCCATGCTCCAAGTGTGCCAGGGTTGTGATAGGAGGAAACAGAAGCCAGAGCCACTTGGCGTTGGGGACACAGCCATGGCGATGGTGAGCCTGGGCTGTGTGAGGCTGGGTGAGATGCTAGGGACGGCAGGAAGCACAAGGTCTCCGGCCCGAGGCAGAGCAGTGTACAGCTGGATGCTGGCCAGAGCTGGTGGGGATTAAGCTCTCAGGGAAGCAACAGGCACTCGCTATTGAGGTGACCGTCTGCTCCGTCCTATTAACAGCCTTGGGAGGCCGGCACGTTAGCATCGTTCCTTTCTTCCAGCAGATAAGGAAATTGAGGGCCAGACAGGCTAAGTCCTGTGCTGAACATCACAGGGCCGAGAGGTGTGCCAGGCAGCCCACACCCACGGAGCTGCTCTGAGCCCTCAGTCTCTCTTGCCACAAACAGAGCCCAGTTTGTATTTTCCTGCTGCTGGCCCAGGGACCAGAATGGTCTACTTAGGGGGGTGCAGAAGCCCTCTCCTGACCTCATCTGCACTGTGTGGGAAGGATGAATGTGAGTGGCCCAGCCAGGGGTGGGAGGAAAGGCATTCTGGACAAGAGAGGGAGCTAGAAGTAGGCTGGTGTCCCACAGCCAGACGCGCTGGCGCACAGAGGAGGAGCCAAACCATATGCCCATGTGCACATCGGAAGGGGGCCCCCGTTCTCCGAGTTGTGTTTTCACGCTTCATGGTCCCTGAGAGCAGGTGTGAACATTGTGCCCGCTCAGGAGGCTCAGGTCAGTGCATGAGTAGTCTGTGTCTTGGCCAACCAGGCTTTCTGAACATTATCTTCTTGGCACCAAAAAAGTCCCTTAGCATCCCCAGGTGATTTTTTTCTTCGTGGAACTGTGACTCAGGCCCTGAATCACGGCCTTGTGGTCTTCAATGGCAATGGCAGGAGGGCTGCAGAGTCCTGAGGCAAGGTTTGCCACGGGGACTAGGAAAAGGAAGCTGGCCAGGGAAGAACTCCGAGAAGCAGAGCAGTGAAGGGAGCGATCCCCAGAGGGAAGAGGCAGCGGGGAGACCTAAGGGCAGGGCAGAGCAGGGGAGCCCAGCCCAGGCAGTCCTGGAGCTGCAGCAATGGAGGCCCTGGGAATGACCCCTGTCCTAGCAGGGCAGGTGGGGTTTCTCCGCCTGGCATGGGGGTGGGGCTAACTGTAAGAGGTCCTCAGGGTCATTCCTATTAAATGCACCACAGCGTGGGAGGGCAGAGAACCCCTTTAGCGGGGGCGCTGGCCCCTTTCCCGAGGCTTGGCTGGAATCCGAATGCGCGCTGCCTTGGAACCGGTTTGCCCCGTTCCTAGTGGTTTTTGTGGGTGTCTTACTCTCCTCCCAGAGTGTCACCTCCCCTCCCACCACATTGTTCCCAGGCGCGGGCCAGGCTCAGAGGGCCCCCATCTCGTGTTCTCCTTCTTGCAACCTAGGCTTTTTCCCAGAGGGTTTACTCCTCTGTCTGGCCACAGCCTCTCGAGGGCGCAGCCTTCTCCCCATTTCTCAGATTTGGCAGGGGAGAAGCTGTGATCCCAGGGCAAGGCCGGGGAGGTACGTGAGGAAGCCAAGGTCATTCAGTCATTGGCAGAACGTGGCCTCGACTCTGCCCTTCTTTGGCGGGCCTGGCGGAGCCCCGGCAAGGCAACGCAAGGAGGACCAGCTGCCCCCACGCGCCCGCGTCTCAGAGGCGGCACCAGGGACCCGGCCGCGGGCCAGGCAGGTGAGCCCGGTGGGGGGCCGGCGGGAGTTGGGCTGCGCAGGGCCGCCTGGCGCTCGGGCCTTGGGCGCTGCAGCCCAAACTCGCCGCTGCGCCAGGTCCGGCAAAAGCCCGCGTCCCGGGTCCCGGCCGGCCCGGCGACATGGCTGAGGGTCTCCAGCTCGCCCCAGGCCCGCTGGTCAGGCCCCGCCCCCCGGCGCCACGGGCGGGGGCAGGGGCGGTGCTGGCGGAGTGGGGCGCGGGCGCGCGGTGCTCGGTGCGCGCCGCCGCCCCTCCGGCCCAGCTTGCCGGCCCTCCTTCCCTAACCCCTGGGCCGCCTCATAGCCCCCATCTCTCCTTCCTCTGCTGGCCCGGCGGCCTGGTGCGCGGTGCAGCGCGACTATTGCGGCCTGGCGAGCGGGGCAAGGCGGTCGTGGCGTTCTAGGGTGGCGCGCGAGGCGCGGGGCGCGAGGCCAGACCTGGCGCGGCGGGGTGTGAGGGGGGGCGGGCATCGGCGGAGCCCCCAGAGGAGAGCGGGTCAGGCAGGGGGGTGCCGAGGTAATGGGCAAGGCCTGGGGTCCTGGCTGCTAGCTCAGGGTGGGGGCACCCGGCGCACTTTGGCCCTGGCCGGGAGGGCGACCCGGCGCCTGGGGCGGCGGGAGGGCAGCTGGGAGAGGAGGGACGGAGGGTGGGGAGGGCTGGGCCGGGCCGGGCCGGGGGCTTGGCCGACGGGGAGCAGGTGGGCGGGGACAGGGGCCCTGCTGGAAGAGGCGCAGCAGCGAGGTGGCGAGGTGGCGGGCTGCGTGAGCAAACAGGGCGGCCGCCTCCTGGGCCCGGAGAACGGTGAGGCCATTTGGGTTGGGCGGCCCGGCCCTGAGGACACGGTTTGGTGTCCCAGGCCACGGAGCTGGGCGTGGGGCACCTCTGGGGAGGGGGAATCTGGAGGCCCGGCAGTGGGGTCCCGAGCAGAGCCGGGAGAGGAGTGTGGCTGGGCCAGATGCAGGAGTTGCTGGCCAGGACGCTGGTGTTGGGTGAAGGACTGACACTTTCAGGGCTCGTGTGAATGGAAGGTGACAAGGGGGCCCCAGAGTTTGAGTTTGAGCATGATTTGGGAGTTGCCGTGTCACTGGGTGGGTCGATGAATCATGAGATTTGGAGATCACAGAACGCTTTCTTGGCGATCAGTTCGGAGAGATAGATTGGAAGTAAAAAGGGTTGGGATTTGGAGAAGTGGTTTGGAGGCCATGTCTCAGGACACCAGGTGCTCTGGTGGCCATCAGGCCCCGTGTGAGGGACTCCAGGAGCTGAGTCCCACTGTGGTGGGATTGAGAGTCTTCCACCCTGGGTGGGGTTAAGAGAGGTCTCCCTGGTGGCCCATTCTCTTCCCCCCTTTCCAGGCTGTGGGGATTCAGCTGTGTTCCTGTGGGAAGGGGGTTAAAAATTCCTTTAGTCTCCAGCCAGCTTTCCAGCACCCACCAGGGGCAGGAGGGACATGTACATGCGTGACTGCAGCAGCGTTCTCTGTCGTGGAGCCCTGGCTTCCTCACTGTTGCCATAGTAACTGCCTATTGATGGAGTATTTATAGGGAAGGAAGCAGGCGCTAAATTTTGGGGAGGGGGAAGAGGCCTCTTGGCAGGCCCTGGCAGCAGTGATGGTGGCTATAGAATCACTAAGGGAGTGGGCGACGCTATGTGAGCTGCTCGGGGGAGATCGTGGCTTCTCTGGAGCTGCAGGTGCCAGGATCACACACATTTGGGGCTCTGTGGAACACGGGAGTGCAGGAACCCCCAGGTCCGAGTGTTTGGGACAAAAGATGGCTCTATAGAAGCTATTATGTAATTTTTCCATGTGAAAAAAATTAAAACCCTGCAGTTCTCTTTCGGTAGGCAATGAAACGTTTTCTTTCTTTCTTCGTTAGTAAAGCCTTCACTCATTCTTTTTTCACTGAGACACAGACTCCATTTTCCTTCCAGCGAAGCTCCTCGCCACAAGGTTCCACCTCCACACCCTGGCCACCCACCTGTTTGAGGCCCACAGGAAGGAGACTGTTGAGATAACATCCGCCTTTGCCCTTAGGAGCTTCGAGGGCCATTTCTCCCACAATGGAAGCCCCAGCTTTGGCGGATTCACAATCCAATGTTGAGAGTTTTTGATAGGGTTCTTGTAGGTTTCAAAAGAGGAAACCCCCATGACATGGAAGACCAGATGGCGACATGGGACACCAGATGGATGGGACATTCACTGTTTACTCTTTCATTGTCAGTGATCTGTTGTATCTTACCTGTTTGCCAAAAAGATTAGAGGCAGTGTTACAAATGCACAGTGAAGCTCTCTGTAAACAGAGAAAGCTATGTACCTTGTCCTGGAAGAGAAGCAGCTGTGGCCAACAGCTGGGCTTGCGGGGCGCCTTGCTTGAAGGTTCATGTAGCACTGAATTCCCTGGCAGCCCAAGCAAAAAGGGTAGTGTAGCGGGTTGCACAGCTCACGTGTCTTGTGTCCCGTTAGTCATAAAACACGAGCTTCTGCCTGGGAGGGGAGTGATGGTGATTGCTCTCAGATGTGGGTGGCTTGTCAGCACTCCAGGATGTGTGTGCACTTGAGAGTGTGTGTTGCAAAGCAGGGCCGGGGAGTGGTGCGCTGTGCCCAGGGCAGGAATCCTGACCACAGAGGGTTTTAGTAGGAGAAAGACTCTGGGACAGTAGTGTGTGTGTGTGGTGGGTGGGGGTTGGAGAGCTAGCCCAGGGTCTCATGCGTACTAGGCAAGAGTTCTAGCGTGACTGTATCCCCACCCCTGATCATCGAAATCCACATGCTGGTTCTCTGCTACAGTGGTCTTTAGTGCAAAAAGAAGGGCACTTCTTGCTCCTAGAGGAGTCCAGGAATCTCACCGCCTGCTGGTGAAGATGAACCCAGAAGGTCATGTGCATTTGTTTGTACCTAATGGATCTGGTTGTTGCGTACATAGGGGCTCTGACCCTAGAGAACAGGTGTCCACTGAAGGCCATCATAGGCCACTCCCAAAAGGGCCTGGACATCTGAGATGGTTGTTGTGGCTGCAGTATGTTTGTTTTTCAAGGACCAATCTTGCCATTGGAGGGATCTGGAGTTGCCACTGTGATCAGTTCAGGTCCTGCCTCTGTCGCAGCTCAGTTGCTTGCCCTTGCCTCTTCCCACACCCGCCCCACCTCGCTAGCCTTCATTTTCCCATCTGTCTCAGGTCTTTTCTGATTCAAAGGTGCAGAGCTCTTGGAGGGCAGTGAGGAGGAAGTGCTGCCTGTAGTTTTTCTTTCTCAAAGAAGAGGTCAATCCTCAGGTTTTCTAGACATTGCGAGTGTGCACTTGGGGGAACTAGCAGAAGCGCTGTGCAGGCTCTGTTGGGTCTCAGAGAGATCTGGAAAAGGGCTCAGGAGGATAATGGGAAGTGTCCGGTGCTAGGAGTGGCTGCATGGGTGTGCTGCTTCATCTGGGGGGGCGGGGTGTCACTTTTGACTAGGTCTAGGGGTCACATCCCAGGGTGAAGACGGGGTGGTGTAGATCTCTGGTTGTGACTTCACCACAGCTCTGCTTTTCTCTCTGGCCAGGCAGGTGAGACTCTGCAGCTGAGGGCGCATCATCATGGCAGGTGAGTCTTCCCAGGCTGAGTAGAGTCGGGCTGACACCTGGCAAAGGCGCATGTCCCTGTTCTGAGTCCTTCCTGGCTTTCCTCTCTGGGAGTCCATGGCCACTGTTTAATTGGCTGAGCAGCAACTCCCCTTAGCCTTAGCCTCCCACTGGAGAGTGCTGCAGCCTGGAGACATGCACCTACCGGGCTGTGTAGGCACGCTGATGTGGCAGGCCACAGGGCTTGGCCGGGGCATGGCCAACGCTAGCCGCCAGCAAAATCCCCTCTTCCTCTGTCCTCCAGAGCCTAGGCTCCACCTGTGCCTCACCATCAGCCCAGTAGAGCTGAGTCTGTCCCTCCGAATAGCACCTGTGGTGCCACCCTCTGAGAGTTTTGCAGGACAGTCTGGCATAATCTTCAATGTATAGACTCTCTGTGGAGACCGTACCACCTTTGTTTTGAGAGCACTCTAAGCTATGTGCCTCCAGTCTTTCAAGACACCTCAGCCAGACTTTGGATTAGGCTGTCCCAAGCGAAACCACTGATGCCAGTTGATGTGATGGCACAGGGGCCAATTCAGGTGGCAGGATACTGCCCTTGCAGAGTCCTACGGCATTATCTGCTGTCAGTCTCACAGTGTCAACCTCAGAAAGGAATCAGTTCTCAAGGGAAGGGCTCCAATTGCCCCTTTTGGAGATAAATGCAAAATAACCTGGGTATCTGTTCGCTGGCAACTATGGTACTCGGAATTCTGACTCTTGTTCCTGTGTAATGTGGTCTTCTCCCTTAGCTGGTTCTCAGCTTCCCTGTATTAGTGAGGGCCTGAGCACTGCTGAGCCGCCAGCGTTCTAGATGTTCTAGCCTCGTGGTAGGGCAAGTCAGCCCTCTGTCCCTTTTCGACTCTGTCCCTTGAGTCCATCCTGGCCGTGTGCCTGCCTGTTTTGTCTGGCTTCCCTCTGCTGCTGTGCCTCAGTGCCTGGCTCGGCCCAGGTGGATCTGGACACGTCCACAGTCCAGGCCTGTGTGGGGGCTCTCTCCTCAGTGTTTCTGGAGGCCAAGAATGCCCATTCTGTTCTGAAACGCTTCCCGCGGGCCAACGAGTTCCTGGAGGAGCTGCGCCAGGGCACCATCGAGCGCGAGTGCATGGAGGAGATCTGCAGCTACGAGGAGGTCAAGGAGGTGTTTGAGAACAAGGAGAAAACGGCACGTAGGACCGTGGCTGGGCCTGGGCGGAGAGGTAGCATCAGGCCTGTCACTAACAGGCTGGCTTCTCAAACATGGTGAAACAAGGCAAGAAAGCTCCCGAGCCCGGGACCTGTCCTCTGGGACCAGCTTGGAGCAGGGGTCCAGCGCCTGCCTTCAGGGAGGCCCTCACATGCTGGCACTGTCCTTTGTCCTCCATGCTTCCGACAGAGTCTCTGAGAGCTCTGTGAGGCTGGTGGGGAGGCAGGATGGGGTGCCCAGGCCTCCTCCGGGGTCCCTCTGGAGCAGGGAGGAGTGCCTGGCTCACAGTATTCAGTGGTACCCACTCATCCTGTTCTGCACGTATGAGCCACCCATCCTCTTTTGCAGATGGAGTTCTGGAAGGGGTACCCGAATGCAGTCTACTCCGTCCGAGACCCTTCACAGAGCTCTGACGCCATGTACGTGGTTGTGCCCCTTTTGGGGGTAGCGCTGCTGATTGTCATCGCCTTGTTCATCATCTGGAGGTGCCAGCTGCAGAAAGCAACCCGTCACCATCCCTCCTATGCTCAGAACCGGTACCTTGCCAGTCGCACCGGGCACAGCCTGCCCCGGGTCATGGTGTACCGGGGCACTATGCACAGCCAGGGGGAGTCCTCTGGGCACCGGGAGGCGGGGAGCACCCCGCAGGCGATGCTGGGGCCCAGCCGGGGGAGCAGAGCCACGGTCCGGCTGGAGAGCACCCTCTACCTCCCGGAGCTCTCTCTCACCAGATTGTCTAGTGCCACCCCTCCGCCCTCCTATGAGGAGGTGACTGCACCCCAGGAAGGGAGCAGTGAGGAAGCCAGTGTCTCATACAGTGACCCACCCCCAAAGTATGAGGAGATAGTGGCCGCCAGCCCGGATGCAGACAAATAATGAGACCGAGGGCTGGCCTGTATGGAAACCTCTTGCAGAGGCTTCCTGTTTGCTTTGGAACTTTGGAAAGACTTTGTTTGCCACCACAAAACAGCCTTAGCCTCCTTGTTGCCAAATAATTCCCTAACTGTGGATTTTTAGGAAGCCAGCTGTCAAAGCCAGGTAGGGGGGCAGGGGTTCGGAACATGCATGACTCAAGCCTCCCGGGAAGAGCTACTGACTCCAGGTCCCAGCTCTTCTGGAAGCCCCCTACATCCCCCTGTCCTGTTCTCCCATCTGGGACTGGCTTCTCTTATGCCAAAGGAATCACCCAATTGTGTTGATTGTGGTCAGAATGTCCCCAGGTTTGGCCACCTGCGCCTTGGGATGGCGACCTCTCTATCCCTGGGTCATTAGGCCACAGAGGAGAGGGAGAGAAGCCAGCTCTGCAGTACCCCTTCTCCTCCACAGTTCTGTGCTCTCTGTTCTCATAAGAGGACAGGGACAAGGACTGTGCAACAGAGGAACCAAGTAATAACAAACGGTGAGCATCATAGAACCAGACAGGAGCCGCTGGGCCGTGCATGTGTTGGAAACTGAGGGCAATCAGTTGCATAGCTCTGAGACAGGCTTCTCCCCGACACCTGCCCCTCACTCCTGACCAGGCCTGCAGCAAGCTGGCTGGCTGCCGGACAGGGTACATGAAGGGTGCGAGGCAGTGCGCTGGTTGGCAGAGTTCCTTCCTTCATAGTCACCAAGGGGCCCACATGAACTCTGCCATTCTGTTTGTGGTGTGCTTGCCCCCTCCCCAGATCTTTGTACCTGCTGTGTTGGAACCACTGCGCACTGACACCAGCCCACCTGAAGCCCCTGAACAAGTTGTCCTGGGGAAGGCCTCTGAGTAGTCAGGGCACAGACTAGGACAGAGAGTGAAACTCTTCTGTGTGTGCTTGCTCCATCCAGGGACCAGATAAATCCCTGAGCTCGGCCTCCTTGGCCCTGAGCGCTCTGGCTTGGAACTTTCAGGATGCTTGCGTTTTTGTGTGTGGCCGCATGGAACTTGAACTCCAGATTGGTGACTGCCCCCTAACGGTGGCCATGTGGGGAGAGGGGCCTAAAATGTCTCTTTGAAAATCTCTTTCTGGGGGAGCTGTGTCCTGGGGTTGAAGGCTTATCCAGGCTTTGCTCTGCCATGGCCAGGTGCTGGTCTGACTTCAGTGAGGCTTAGGACAGCAGTTGGGCAGAGGTGACCTGCCCTGTAATTGTCGTAGATTGCATGAAAGTCATTGTTGATACCATCTTTCCCCTCCCCTAGCTCTATCCTCCTGGCCTGGCCTTGGTGCCAAATCATTTTCGTCTGTGGTGCTTTTAAAAATGTAGCAACCTTTCGTGGGGCCCAAAAGAGTGTGAGGCGTGGGTCTATTGGCAGCACAGCACTTTCAACCCCAAGCTTCCTGTCTCAATGGCTCTCCGAGGCAGTCATTGGGTTCATTCCTTGAATGCAGCCCTGACTGAGGCCACAGATAACTTCTGGAGGTCCCTAGGGGCCTGAGGACTGTCCTCAGGCTGTATTTCCAGTTGAGAGGCTTGTGACCTTTCCCACTTGGATAACTGGACCCCGCCATGAGGGTTTCCATCCTTCCCCCTACCTCACAGGACGCTGGACGCTGACTGGGCTATTGCTTGCAAAGCACTTGGAGCCCTGCAGAGCAGTGAAGTTTGCCCTTGGATAGATGCTTCTAGAAATGTACAGGTTCTAAGGGACCGTTTTTATGGAGGACCTCATCTGTCTCAGATAGAGTCTCAGCCTGGAGGAGTCAGCCTCCTGCCTGGGCCTTTCTGTGCCCTCTGGCCTTTCCCTTGTTCTGTGATGCCAGAGATGCCAACCAGGCAGCGTTCCACCTTCCTTCTTCCTTTTCTCCTCCCCTGAGCCTGTAGCACTATGCGCCTGCCCTTCCTCATGAAGGCATTTTTGATCTAGAAGGCCTCTGCTTATTCCATGATGGAGCCAGAGCCCACATTGGCCATGTTGGAGGACCTTGGAAAACCAGGTGCTTGGCGCTAGCCCCAGCTCTCCCAGTGTTTTCTCAAGCAGGTGCCCAAGTGTGACCTGCAGCACCTGAGAAAAGGGTCCCCCTCCTTGCCGCAACCAGAGCCAGAGGGAGGGTGCCAAGGGAGGCCAGTGCCTTTGGCATCTGCCCAGTAGCCTCAGGTGGGCTGGCCCTGGGAGAAGAGAAGCCTGGGACTGGCCCGAGGGGGGAGCACTTCCCTGGGGACTGATGTGGGCTGTAGGGAGGGCCCAAGGCTGCTCCGAAAGGCTTAGGCTCGCTCCCTGGCAGGGCTGTGCCAAGGGCCCAGACGGTGTTTGAAGCTGACAGTGGAGAAAGCACGGTACAGTGCGCACAAAGGCCTGGAGTCCTCACAGTGCGCACTTGGCTTTTTGAATGCCCTGTACATAGCTTTTCAGACTGTCTTTGTATGAACGCTGATTTGAGATGATGCTAACACTTCAGTAGCCACATTTTTGTTGTTTTGGGACGTGTGTGTGTGTGCGTGTGCGTGTGTGTGTGTGTATACACGTGTGCACATTGCCTCTTTTCATTGCTTACCTGAAACAATAGCCGGTATGCAGCTATATTTATACCAGGAGGGATCCGGTCTGAAGAGTGGAATGTTTCCTCCCTCCGGAGGCTGGGCAGTCTCCTGACAGGGCCTGAGTGAGGAAAGCCAACGTTAGCCATTGGAATGCCCCAGAGTCTGGGCTTCTGTCCCCCCTCAGAAGGCTTTGCCAGATGAAGCAGTGCCACCCTGGGGATCCCACAAGCCCCTGTGGCACAGTGCCTCTCCAGTTCTGTGGCCCTCGGTAGCTGAGGGAACTCTGAGCACTCCTAGACACCTCTCTCTTTCTTTTTGCGTCTCTTCCCTCTTTCCTGTATTCCTGTCTTCCTCCCTCCATTTCTTTTCTACTTTTCTGTCACAGAAAAATGTATGATTGCTGACTTTGAAAATGGTGGGCTAGTTACTTAGATTTTTTTCATTCAGAAGAAAAGGCTTGAAAAATTCCTTGAAATAGAACTGTCACTTGTTTTCAACCAAAAACTTTGTAAGACTTTTTCAAGACAAGAATCATAGTCCTGCCCTTCCCCCGCTGCCCATCACTTTGGGTTTTCCCAATGAAAGCACAAAAGTAAACGCGGGGTGCCAGATGCCCCTCACAGCTGCCTCGCGCCCTGGCTGAGGCTGAGGAGTTCCCCCTGGGAGGCTCAGGCCTCCACTTCTACTTGCCAATTCACTGCCATTAGTGTGAACTCCTTAGGGTGCTTAGAAGATGGGACTCTGCCTCATGTGCTGGACAAAGTGGGGTTTTTTACCCAAATCTGAGGACTTTGGGACAGGAAAGTATCCTTTTGGCTGAGTAGTTGGAGCCAGATGCTTCCCCTCTTCCAGTGAGTGGTGACTCCTGTTCCCCAGGCAGCATTGGCCTTTTGTCACCCGGATGGCATCCCAGCAGAAGGAAACATCAACACTGCCTCTAGCCTGCTCGGTGAGCAAGAGTGAGATGAAGGAGAGAAGATCTGTCTTTCTGTGACAAGGCTGAGCCGCTGCGCTGGGTGCACCTTGCTAAGGTGGAAGCCTTTTAGGACTTCGATCCAGCAGCAAGCACATCCTCCCTGCTCTCATCTGCTAATACTAATCAGTATAATTAGCTAATTAAAAAATGCTGTAATCAGACTTCTTGAAATGACAGCAAAAGCCCATTAATCCGAAACCCACTAATTCAAAACTTAGAGGGGGGAAAATCACAATTTCAAATACTTCACAATAGCTGTGATTCTTATGGCAGAAACATATTGGAGAGATTAGCCCCTTGGATCCATTTTGAGGGTCTTCTGTGTAAGAGGAATCCTGTTTAAAACAAGTACTTTTTTCAAAGGAAAGGCTCAAGGTGTTAGGGTCCTTTCGCCATGCCTGCTGCTTTGCGGTTCAGCAGTTAGAATCCGCAGGGCTCAGGGCAGGGCGGGGTCCCTTGCTCTCCCTGGTCATGGGGACGCCGGGTAGCGCAGCCTTTGCCTCCTCTCCTATATTTACTGTCCGAATGACGTCTTTGTGAGCTTGAGTGCAGTCTAAACACAAGCACATGGCTTTCTGAGTATTTTGTAAAGCAAACGTTGCACCAGCAGACTGGCTGCTGTCTTCACTCACCCTCAAATATTCCGACCAGGAGCTTTTCCTTTCCAGGGCTGTGGGCGGTGAGTCTCGCCCACGTCTCCCACGGAATTTCCCTGACAAAGATGCCGGCCCACCAGCCCCCTCCTGCTCCAGGCACCACCGTTGTTCCTCCTTCCTGGTGTCCGAGCAGGCTGAACATTCCCACAGATGCCCAGGTTGGGACCCACCCCAGCTTCTGCTCCCAGTCGCCGCCTCCTCCCACAGATGCCACTTTCCCAGGCCTGAACACATCTGCTAGCTCACTGTGTGCGACTGTGCATTTGTGACAGTGGCAACCCTGAATCGTGCCGCTGAGCTTACGGAAATGATCACCATGACATGGGTTCATTTTGGTCCACTTTCAGCTGTGCTCGCCTTCATGTGCTGACCCACATCAGCTGGAAGTTTGGCCTTTCAGTAAACTGGATTTCCCTGGAGCCCGGGGCCAGCCAGCAAACTTGCTTCTGATCTCTCGCTCTCTGCTCTCTGTTTACAATTGTTGAGTTTAGCTGTTAACTTTTGTCTCTTTCTGTACCAGAAGATAATGAATAATAATAAAAAGCAAATGGTGTCCATTCGCATTCTGTCCTGAGCCGCCGTGCCTCCCCGGATGTGTGCGTGGCTGTGAGTCAAACCTTTTTTCCCAAAAGTCATACTGTAGATAAGAAAATAGGCCATGCCAGTTTAGGGGCAGCAGACAGAGATGTCCTGGGCACCGAAGTCTGTCCCATGGCGTGTGACAAGAACTGAACCACCCTGAAGAGCTGAGGTGAGTAAGAGCTGTTACCAATCTGGGCTAGCAACTTCCCTTGTCATCTGATCCCTGGTTACTAGTGCAGATGTCCCCTGCCCTAAGGATGCCCTGCTTGGCTTCAGAGCTGGGGGATGGGTGGAAGGGAGGAGTCTGCGCATGCCCTATGTGGATGGGACACAGCACTCAGGCCTTGTCCTGCTTGTGCCCCTGAGTTCTGCAGATGGCAAACCTCAAATGCTATTCAGAAGGCAGTGCTGGCCCTGCCTCCATGGGGGAGAAATGTGCACTGGGCCTGAGCACCCCCAGCTCTGTGTGCAGTGAGATGCAGCCGTGGGGAGTCTGGGCCAAGTCGGGCCAGCCATCAGTAGTGACCATACTGGAGATTCTGGTGCCTCCCTGCCCCTCTTCTTTTACTCTACCTCTTCCTTTCTTTCTTCCTTTCTTTCTTCCTTTCTTCCTTCCTTCCTTTCTTTCTTCCTTTCTTTCTTCCTTCCTTCCTTCCTTCCTTCCTTTCTTTCTTTCTTTCTTTCTTTCTTTCTTTCTTTCTTTCTTTCTTTCTCTCCCTCCTCCTTTCTCCTCCTCTTTCTGCTTACAGTTCTGGGGATTGAACCCAGGGACAGACATGTGCTAAGAAGCACTGTACCACTGAGCCTGTAACGAAGGCAAGCCACCTTTTCATAGGGAAAGCCCAGGCAGTGATAGGACAGTGTTGATATGTGGGACATCATTGGGACTTAAATGTGAAGGGGAAAATGCCAGAAATGACAGCCAGAGATCTAGTGAGGCTGGCTTAGTTGAGCGATGCCAACTTTCTGGGGATGCTAGGAAGACACATGAAGTAGACCACAGCACACAGACGAGGTCACATTTGGAACTTGGGTCTTGACTTTCAGACTCTTAGCTAACATGAGTGTTCAGATGGTGACTTAGGGTCCCAGGCTGGCCCTTGCAATTAAGTGAATAGAGATGATGCCTCTGGCTTCTGTGTCCCTGGGGACATCATGCAGGAACTGGGCTTCATTTCTTGTTGGGCCAAGGCACTTGAGTTGCTTGTAGAAGGTGATAAGTTGGGGAGAAACTTCATGAAATAATGCTGGGGGAGATGGTCTTGTCTCCTGGCTCTTCCCGGTCCCTGAAGAACAGAAGGAATCGAGAGAAGCTGAGCCTGGCCTTCAAGGGTGTACCTTGGGAACAACACACCCTCTTTTGCCCCTTCCCCTCATCCCGAAGGCTGGGCAGTTAAGGGGAAGATCTATGAGTTGTCCTTATAAAGGGTCACGGCCAGCATTCACTGAGACTTCGTGTCCAGGTCCTGTGTGTGCATCAGCTGACACTGCTCTCTGCAAGTGTCTTCATAGCCCAAGAAAACAAGTTCAAAGAGACCAGGTGTGCCGTGGTTGTCCCACCACAGGTTACACGTGCGCAGAAATGTCATGGCGCTTTGGTTTCTGTGCTCGCCCTGCATCCCTCCAGCACCCTTGCCTTTCGTGGCCATGGTGGCTAATCCTGGGAGAGTGGGGCCGTGGCTAACTTCTCATCATTCCCTTTCTGGAACACAGCGTGGAGCCTGGCTCACAGTGACAGTGGGACTTTAAGTGTGTCAACTAATTCTATTGTCCAATCACAATCCCGGCCCCTTGTTAGTTTGTTAGGGAATGTGACAAAAGGCCCCCATCTGGTGTCTTAAACAGGAGCTTACGTCCTCACAGCTCTGGAAGCTGGGGGTCTGAGCTCTCAGTGTCTGTAGAGTCGATTCCTTCTAAGGTCCCTCTCCCTGGCTTGCAGGTGGTTGGCTTCCGCCTGTGTCTTCACAGTGTTCCCTCCATGTCTACCGGGGTCTTGATCTTCTTTTTATAAAGACACCAGTCACACTGGACACAGCAGCCACTTTACCTGTCACCATTTGAAAGATTTTCTCTCCAAGTATAGTCACATGCTGAGGTACTTCACTGGGCCATACAAAGTGGGTTGGGGTGCACAGCGCGGACCAGAAGAGTTTGTTCATGGCAGTGGGGGTCTGTGGCACTCCTTCTCCGACCTGGGCACAGGATGCACTCTACAGGCAACCGTCATGCCTTCTCTGAGTTGCTTCGTCTCCCACCTGAGCACGTCATTCACACCAGAAGCAGTGAGACAAGGGCACGTTGCACTTCTCTGAGACTCAGGCAAAGACAGGGGCATCTTGGCATTCTCAATCCAGGCTGGGGATCAGCTTAGCCCTTGCTACCCTGGAATGATGGCCGATGACTGCCAGTGGTCCCCACAGGACCAGTAGGGCTGGGCGTGGAGAAGTGAGCTTCAGAATGGTTTTCCCAGGATCCCTTTGTGGAAAGTCATGTAAGAACGCGACACCTGAAGGATACACAGAATGCTTGTACCCCTGAGAATGTTTTTATGGATAAAACATACTGTTTCTGGGAATTGTAAGACTGGCAGCTCCAATAACAGTGACGTTCAACAATTTCTCTAAAGAGCTCAAACTGTGTGATTGATTCAATTTCACCAGAATTTGTGTGCTGTAAAAATAGTCTGGGTAACATTTCCTGTCAGGTGGGTTGTGCTGAATCACAGGAGCCCAGTGGGTGGGCCATCAGTGCTGGCTCCCTAGGATTCTGCAGCTAACAGGGCACACAAGAGCAGGAGGTGGTGGAGCATGATGCTCCAGAAGTGAGGGTGTCTTGCCTCAAGCTTGGGGCACCACACACAGCTGGCTTTGGAAAGACATGAAAGAAGCCACAGCAGTGGCGCATAGTGAAGTAGATGTTAGGGGAACACTGTTGGGACTGATTGTGGAGGTTTGCAGAGAAAGCTCCCTTAGGGAGGGTGACAGAAGCAGGGAGAGGCCAAGTGAGTCATTTAAGAAATGAGAATTTGTGAGTCAAAGCTTGTAGCTGGGAGTGGCAGATGTCAGGGTTGGAGCTGGGATACACCTCCCCTTCCCGTGTGTGTGTGTGTGTGTGTGTGTGTGTGTGTTGTTTGGAGTGTTGAGGAGCAGCCTAGCCACTGGTCTCCGTCTCCCAGGAAAAAAGGGCAGGCCAGAATAGAACAGGGCTTGAAGCATGTTTGCTTACACTCTGCTAAGCTAGCTCCTCCCTGGGACCTGTTGTTGGCCTGGCCAGGGTCCTGGATAGTTAACCTGATGATCTTCATTTGCCAAGGGGCTAGCACAGTGAGTCCCACCGGGTTGTCCCTGCCCTCCTTCTCTGCCTTGCTGTCTGTGGGATGGAGGGATATGGAGAACAGTAGCCATTCAAAGATGAGACCATGGCCATGAGCTAGGCCAAAAAAGTGTGCAGCTCCTTGGGTCTTCTTCCTTCTTCTCCGCTCAGGGGCAGCTGAGCAGCTCAGGGGCAGCCACTGCTCCTGCCTTAGAGCCAGTCCATGTCCGAGACTTTGCACACACTCATCACATGTGCAGCCCTCCTGCCTGCTGTTCTTTGCCCCCTGATTCTCCTGGTTCTTAAGTGCACATCCCTTCCATTCCCTGGGCATGGAAACAATGCTGTTCATCTGCACAGTTGCCCCATGACTAAGCTGAGGGTTCCACAAGAGATCAGGAAAGAGGCTGTCCTAGCCAGTCTGTGGGACATTGAATGCTAGGCCACCATGTGACCAAGACAGGAGATGAACCCTTCTGGGCCACAATCTGCTGCCAGCTACTTCAGAAAAGATTCTTGGGCAGCAGAAAGGGAAATAAGAAAAGAAAGCAGGAGAAGGGTGTGGCAGCTGGTGGCCACGTTGGCAGGCAGGCTGTCTTGTGGGCTTCCTACTTCTTTACAGGGTCTTTGATTTGACTTTATTATTTTAAGATTATCAGTGTATGTTTGTGGTACATAATAGTTAGATTTGTCTTGGGGGACTGGTGTACACACACACCATCCTGATCATTTTTACTTACTCCCTTATCTCCTTCCTCCCTTCCTAACACTTCAGCAGATCCTGTCCCGTCTTCACGGAATCTACCTCTTGGTACCCTATCATCTCCCTTTTATTTTGCTCCCTATTATATTTGAGTTTCTCATATAAGCAAAACTCCGAAGAATGTAAGTTTGTGGGTCTGCTTTCCTTCACTTCACAGAAGTAGTACCTCTTGTGCCTACATGCCACATTTTCTAATGCGCTCATCTGTTGGACATACGGACAACTTCCATGATTTTGACTTTGAACTTTTGGGTGCTGCTCCCTGCCCTGCAAGCAGGGCAGTCTTGAGTTAGCCCTGGAGCAGCCGGCCAGGGAAGATGGTCCTTTTCCTGGCAGGCTCCCCCCACAGGGAGTCTGCGGGTGCCATCAGGAGGCACAGCTGCATGACCTCTGGACCCAAAGACCTAGGACCAGTCCACCTGCTGCGGTGGAAGTGGAAGCTGCA